TGATAAATAAACTGGTGCCTTGAATAATAACTGTGAAAAACTTTCTGCTATCTAAAAATTTGCAGATTAATAAAGAACTGCTCGTAACAATATAAAGGATGGTAAAATGCAAATTGTCTAGATATAAGAAATTTATAAGAAAAGTAAAGTTCGATATGAGTTTTTTTTTGTATTATTTTATTGTAGGGGTAAAATTATAATAGGTGGTTTTGAGTTTTATTTAGTTCTTGTTATTTATATAAAAAAAAAATCATTTTTATTAGGATTCAGTTATTTAAATATATTAGTGTTTATTTATTTAGTTAATTCTTTATAGACTATGTTAATTGTTTTTGTATCTGTATTATTTTCTAGGAGTAGTATTAAGGTATATTCTCTATTTTTCACTCACGATATAGCTATATATAGCTGTCCATGAGCAAATACGTATATTCTAAGATCTATAACTATTCGATCTAATGTAAGACCTTGATAGCTATTGAAGGTTGTTGAATATGCAAGGCGCAATAAAAATTGTTTTCGATGTACAGTCCATGAACAATAATCTAGTTGAAAATAGAAATTTATTCTTGGGATAAGGTGGGTTTCCGATATATTATCAAGGTTGTTATTTTTGAGAACTTTAATTTTGATTAGCTGTTGATGTATATTAGTTATTATGACTCATGCATTTTTGACTAATCTTTTATCAATAGAAATATTTCATATGATAGAGCATATAGCTTCAATTTTCAGATAAATTTTGTGATTAAGTATTCTGGGATATGTAAGTTATGCTAGGTAATCTGGTGTAGCTGTTGGATGATCATTAACTATTTCATCATTTTCTTTTACGCAATTATAACTAAAGTACGTATAAGATTCTCCAGATAATTTATTTAGGATCTTTTGGTTAAAATCATCAACTAATATATTACAGAAACTTAAAAAGGCTCTTTTTTGTAATATTTCATGATTTGAAAGTATATTTTCAGAATAAAAAAAAGATATTGCTGTTTCAATGTTTGTAGTAGTTTTAAAAATATTTAATAAAACGTCTTAATCTTCATAATTTTCACTGATATTATCAATGAATTCTGCAAAAATCAGATCACTTGCATTGCGTATAGGTTGATTTAGAGTGTATATTTTAAAATATTTCCACAGAAATAAAGTTTTGATCGATGCATTAATTGTAGAGCTTTTACTAGCCCCTTTAACAACTGGAGTGACTTGTCTGAAGTTTCCTATACTTATAAAGAGTTTTTCTCTATATGGTCTGTTCTTTTAAGCCACTTTATAACTCTTGAATTGGCATCTATTGTTCTTTTTCTTTTGCTACTTGTATCTAATTCTCTATCGAGTGCTGCATTAAAATCACCCATGATGATACGAAATGTGTTTTTCTTGTTTTTAACTGTTTCCTCTAAAATTATCTT